TAGGTGTGTCACCCCATGTGCCGGCCACAGTCACACCAAGTGTCTCTGGCAGACACACGTATTTGAGGCTCATAGTTCATGTCTCTGGCAGATGTGATTACAGAGACCTGACTTGCCCTTTTCCCACAGCAGAAGAGACCCCGAGATGTCCTCTGGACCAGTCTCCCCAAAGGCGAGCAGAACTTCTCCTGAGGCTGCGGGCCCCTCGGCTGATGACACCGCACGCAAAAGTAAGTCTGGCAGGCTGCCACACCTCAATGCGTACAAAAATCTGTCCCGCTTCTGGTGCATGGCCCAGGCACCGACATGCTGCCGATGGAACTGCAGCTCAGTGGGCTCACCAGTCTGCTGAGGGGTATGCCTCAGCTGGGCGAGGCCCACACTGGGGTACATTGGTATCAGGGACCTGCCTGAGTGGCCCACCAGTGCTGGCTCCCATCTTGCCCTGTTCCAAGGTTGGCTTCCCCTCACCAGCCCTGCTTGTTCTGTGAGTGAAGGGGATGCTGGCAGGTGATAATGTTGGGGACTGTCTCTAAGCAAGGCTATGACCCAGAGCTGTGGGGAAAGGGGCACTGGCCCGGGGACTTGAGCTGGTCCTGGCTGGACATATTGGGATATAACACGCAATATGGACGTGGGAGCATTTATCGAGCTGGGGCAGGTGACCTCTGGCCTCTCTGGCTGTTGGGCTTCTCCCCTGCCATAGGACCAGCCTCTGTCAAGCCACAGACGTCTCTAATGCAGTTTGACTTGTGGCCCATCTAGTGCAAACAGAACACCATTGTGGGGCATTAATGCCTATAAGCCTCTCAATTTACCCATCCTGCCCCTTCTGTGGAGGCAGCAAGCTCATCCCCTGGCCATGGGGAAGGTCTTGGCACTCTGCACTGGTGCCTTTGGCCAAAGCTGCTACGGGCAGTCCCGTAATTATTTGTGGGGTCCCTGTCAGGGATTAGGCCCCATTGGGCTGGGCACTGTATGAATGCATCATGGAGAGCTGGACCCTGCCTTGTCCAGTTCAGCCTGGCTGGAAGGCAAGGAGCTGCGCCATGGGACTTGGGCATGGGAGTACAGGATGGGAGAGCCAGGAGTCAGGCTGCAGGCCTGCCATATAGGGACTGTATGGATGGAAAACAAGCTGGTAAAAGGAGTTTTGTTTCCCTGTTTGCTTTGCAGTGAAGCGAGCTGCCCCAGTCCGACCCATGGTGCCCCCGCCACAGGTGCAGCCTCGAACCCAAACTCCCACACTTCAGAACCCACCTGTGCCTGAGAGCACTGCCAACCCCAAAGTCTTCCCTCGCCGAATGGTGAGTGGGTGCATGCGAGCTCCCACTGTCCCACCTCCGCTTCCACCCCAGCCTGCCAGACGCCAGAGTCGAGGTGCTCCGCTGTCCCCCAAGCCTACAGTGACCCCCAAGATGCCTCCAGACACCATGAGGGATGAGGGCTCTGCAGCTGGCCAACCTCCTGCACATAGCTACAGTACAGAAACTGCTGCAAACTGCACCCCAGAGATAGAAGGGCCGAAGGAGCCATCATCTCCAGGAGGGTCAGGCTCTTTAGCCATACCCCAGACAATGGTCCAGTCCCCAGAAAATGACTGAGACCCACTGGAAGCTTTGAAGGCATCAGTTCTGCCTGTTTGCCTGCCAAGGATCCAGGGAGGAGGTGGGAAGATGGACTGGTGCTCCTCCAGAGTCTGGCACACCACATATGGCAAAAATCTATCTAGCAGCTCGGATGGGACCTTGTGAAGATGGACCAGGATGATCCATGGGATTATGTTTCCTGGAAGGTAGTTCACAAGTCTCCAGCCTTGAAAGTGTTCCCCTCTCCTCCATGTGCTTCCCTTTTCTCTCTTCCCAACACTCCCTGCATGTGCGTCTCTGTGTTTTCCAATCTCTCCCTTGAAATGGGGAACCCGACTCTTCCCACTGCTTCCCTCGTCTCTCCTTATTGGCACCTCATTACCTATGCCTTCGCAAAAGTACCAGTGGACTTTCTCTTTCCCCTCCAGCTACCAGAAACTTTCCATAGGAAGACACGAACTCCAGCTCCTGGAGTTCTAGGATCCTGCCACAATCTAAGGAGATAGGGGATCATTGGATGTTTATCTAGCATTCCCCTCCTAGCCTTCCCAAATGATTCTGCTTCATTCAACTAATCTCAGGTTTCATAAATCCCCTCTCGCACTTTCAAAGGACCCTGCAGACTCTAGAGAGCAAGGAGTTCATGGCTCTTCCTTCTTTTAAAGACTGGATTTCAGTTACAGGAAACTTGTCTGTATCCAAAATGGTTTGGAACCATTCAAGGCATAGTCAGAGAAATGGAGTGTATGCACTGAATTGCAATTGATTCACACAGCAGAGGCCATGACGGAGATGAGTCGCCAATTGATGAGGTTTGGATACACAGGGTTGTTCTGACGTTTTCTACGTACGCAATGCAATAATTCTCTACCTTTGGGACCAACCTTGCCTTCAAATGAGTTCTGATAAACTCCTCCCACTAAAAAGAAAAGGAGTACTTGTGGCACCTTAGAGACTAACCAATTTATTTGAGCATAAGCAAGTGAGCTGTAGCTCACGAAAGCTTATGCTCAAATAAATTGGTTAGTCTCTAAGGTGCCACAAGGACTCCTTTTCTTTTTGCGAATACAGACTAACACGGCTGCTACTCTGAATCCTCCCATTAAGAATCTCTGACATTGACATGGTGAGGTTTGGGGTAGGACTATTTTTTTAATATGTTGCTGATAAGTTATTTAAAGACTTGGGGCCAAATTTCTAGTTGGTATAAGCAAGTACGACTTAACTAACTTCAGTGGGTTGATCAAGTCTGCACTCATCAAGTCTGAATTTGGTTCTGGGATTGTATGTGAGAAAACCCAGTAAAATAATTGCTGCTTTCTGTCTGTTGTGTTTTGCGGTATCTCACGGTTTCCTTTGGTAATGTACTTTTACAAATATATATGTACATATATTTTAAAGAAAAAGTCTCAACTTTGTCACACTGAATGCTTGCAGGGCTGATCCCTCCCTTTCCTTTGCTTCTCCACCGCTCTTCACGGACAATATTTGGAGGTAGGGGACCATCCCAGCACTGAGTTAACAATGGGTTCCCCTATCCCCACTTGCGGTTTTCCCCTAGCCTCTGAGAATACAACAGCATTTAGTTCTCTACAGTGCATGAAAATCACATAAGCTCTGGGTTTTCTCTCCTCCCAGGCAAGCCCAAAATTATTACAACTCTTGGGGTAGGCGGGGTGGTGGTGGAAAATCCTGTTTAAAGTGCAGGATACAGGACTGACCCATAAGAATTGAGATGGGCAGTGCACCCTAAGCATGGACCTGGAAGGTACCTGCTGGGCAGCTTGGGTACGATTACAGTCACCATGGGTTAGAATTGTTAGATGACTAATGGGGGCAGGTCCCAGCCTCCTGCAACCTCACATTCCCTACTCCTAACAGGTGTCTTTCTGCCTTTTTGTATATGGGCCAGCAGCCACCAGCTCTGAGAGGGCCCATGGTTCTAGGGGGTGGGAAATCACAGTAGGCGTGGGTGCTTGGCCCATGGAGGCAAGGGAACAAAAAGGTGAGAGGTGACTTCTCACTGGGTTCCATAAGGGTGGTTAACTGCATCCCTTCTGCGGGGCTGCCCGGACACCCTGGTTTGAGGTCTCTGGCAACTCTCTCTCAGCCCCCAAAGAGCACTTGTTTCCTTCCGGCTGCTTTCGCTATGTCCCCGGCCAAGGGAACTGGCCACTTTAGTCTATGGATTTTACCACTTGTGGTTGCACCATTGTGGCCAAGCAGCCGCCCGGGCAGGAGCATATCTGTCCACCTCCACGTCTAGCTCCTTCCGCGGCCCTCCCTGTAGTAGCTCTGAGCACCCTGCGGCCCACTGGGGGCTGTAATGAGCTGGGGTGGGGCGGGGGCCACAGCTGCTAGCATGTAGGACACCCCCCCCCTCCCCCTTGCTCTGCTGACTTGGCTATTCTGGGTGCAAGCGAGCGTGGGCAGAGGCTGCCCCCCACGGTGTTTGTACAGCGCCTGGCACAGGGGTCCCCTCTCCCGGCTGCAGCCAGGCGGGCCCTGCTGCTTTGGGGGGCGGGTCCTCCGACCCGGGCAGACGCTGGGGGCCGGTGCCCAGGCGGGTCGGCTGAGCGCAGGGAAGCCTCGCACCCGCAGCTCCGCAGCCACGGCCAGCCCCGCACGTGGCCCCGCCCCCCGGGCCCAGCCCTATTTGGCTGCGGCGGGCCTCCGGCCTCGACTCCCGCTTCGGCCGCACCGTCCGCCTGCCAATCATCTCCCCTTACCCCGCCTCTTCATTGTCTCGGGTATTATGAAATTAAACAGGCCCGTGAGCCTGTCACTCTCTTAGCCCCACCCCCATTCAATGGTACGAGCATCTCATTGGCCACTGTCACTGAAAGCCCCACCGGTAACTGTCGTTCCCCCCATTCTCCACCGGCTGCGCATTTTGCAATATTTGATAGGCTAATGAGTCTGTCAATCTTTACTGCCGCGCCCTCTTGTTTATTTCCTACTATTTGAGAGGCTAATGTAGCCGCCATTTTCGTTTTGCCCGCCTTCCTAGAACTTTCTCCCCCTGTAATAGGCTATGGCGGCTGGGGTTCTTTCCGGCTTCTCGGTCAGAGCGGCGTGTGGACGGACGTTGATTGGCTCAGAACACCTATCAATTCTTCCCTATCTTTCCTCTCATTGGTCCTCGAACAAACTCAAACAGAATCTCGCCCTCCTGTCCCCACTCGCTTTTCCCCTTGCATGGGCGTGGTTAATTCTCCCTGCCTGTCAACCCTGTCCGCACTACTGATTGGACGCTGAGGCCTCGCCCCCGATTGCGGTGGGGCTGTCGCATTTATCCGTCACGCTTCCCCCACCTCCCGCGGTGATTGGGCTGCACTGGCCAGCCCCTTCCAGGTGGGCGGGCCGCGGGCTTGCCCATCAGGCCGAGGGCGCGCGCTGATAGGCGGCGGCGCCCCGCCCGGCGCTGAGGTCATTCCCGCGGGAGAAAGCGGCATGGCGGCCTGCCGGCGGCTGAGCGGGGCGAGCGCGCGGGAGGTGCTGGGCCCGGCGCAGGGGCTGCTGTTCGATTGCGACGGGGTGCTGTGGGCCGGCGAGCGGGCGGTGCCCGGCGCGCCCGAGCTGCTGGAGCGGCTGAGCCGCAGCGGGAAGGCCTCGTTCTTCGTCAGCAACAACAGCCGGCGCTCGGTCTCCGAGCTGGAGCGGCGCTTCAGCCGCCTGGGCTTCCGCGGCGTGCGGGCCGAGCAGGTCTTCAGCTCCGCGCTCTGCTCCGCGCTCTACCTGCGCCAGCGCCTGCTGGGGGCCGGCGGCGGCGGCGACGCCTGCCCCGGGCCCGGCCGGGTCTTCGTGCTGGGCGGGGAGGGGCTGCGCGGGGAGCTGCGGGAGGCCGGGCTGCGCCTGGCCGCTGAGGGCGGCCCGGCCGGCGGGAAGGACGAGCCGCCGGTGCGCGCCGTGCTGGTCGGCTACGATGATCAGTTCACCTTCGCTAAGCTGTCTGAGGCCTGCGGCTACCTGCGCGACCCACAGTGCCTGCTGGTGGCCACCGACCCCGACCCCTGGCACCCGCTCAGCGACGGGCAGCGCACCCCGGGTGAGAGGCCCGGGGGCTGCGATCTCCAGTTGGGGGGGCGGGGGCGGGTCTCCGGGCCTCCCCCCCCCCGGCCGCTACGGCCTCCGGGCCCCCAGAGACTCAGGCCTGCCCTCTGCTCGTGGGGGGCTGCCTGGGCGCTGCTGCTTCTCTTGCCACACTGAAGCTGCTGGGCTGAGCCCCAGGGTGTTCCCTGGGCAGCTGCAGCAGTTGCCCTGATCTCTGGGATTAGCCCCGTGGGCCAGAAGAGGGTTGAATGGCTCAGTCCCTTCTTGAGAGAGACAGCCAAGGAGGCCTGGTTTCTGTGGTGACGGGGCCATGTTACAAAAAGCCACCTATCCCACTAGAAACTGCACCCAGAGCTTTAATTCACTTCCCACAGCCAGTGGCTGGACTGGGCCAGGGACCTTTATGTGAGAGGTGCCATGCCCCTTCAGATGGTGATGACTGACAGTGGTTCTCCCTCTCCTTATCTAGAAAAGACAAATTTAATCCTTAAACACCACTGAACCACCAATAGTTTTATTTGTTTTAGTGACAGTGCCTAGAAGTGCCATTCATGAGCCAAGACCCCATGGTGCTTGGTGGTTCACAAACAGACAACAAAAAGCTGGTGCCTGCCCCTGACCATAAGGGCCCATCTTGAATAAGGGGGACAGTGCTACCCCTGAGTCTCTGGATATAAAGTGCTCCGAGCCTCAAAGAGGCAGGCAGGAGACCTTTGAATTCCACTGACTGGCAGGGCTGCTAACTCGCTGTCTGTTCTTGGATAACAAGCATTTCTTCTTGAGTTTCTCCCTTCTGTCTGGTGGCTGAGTCCCATAGTAGCTAAAATCTCATATTGATTTGTGAATGCCTGTTTCTCTCCTTCCCAGGGACAGGGAGTCTCACAGCTGCAGTGGAAACAGCCTCGGGGCGCAAGGCGATGGTGGTGGGGAAGCCGAACACGTATATGTTTGACTGCATTGTAGAGCGCTTTCATGTGGACCCTTCCCGCATCCTCATGGTGGGCGATAGGCTGGAGACGGATATCCTGTTCGGCAAGAATTGTGGGCTTGCCACGGTCCTGACTCTGACTGGTGTGTCCCGTCTGGAGGAGGCACAGGCCTACATGGCCAGCGAGAACCCTGCTGCAAAGGACCTGGTGCCCAACTACTATGTAGACAGCATTGCAGACTTGATACCAGGCCTGGATGAGTAGAGGGTGAGGTGAAGTGGGGGGGGGTTTCCCAATCTGAGTCCCAGTCCAGATCTCCACCCTTTCCCATTCTTCTCTCCCGTCTTTCTCAATTTCTGGCTCTACCCAGTCCAGTATTTATTCATTTATTCTGCAGGGGGGTGGGAGGGGCAGGGTGTGAGTAGTTGTCTTTCCTTCTTTTTCCTGCCAAAAACAAAACTTTCCTGATAGAACCCTTCCTCTTCAGATAAACCTGCTACCACTGACTCTAAAGGAGAACTGGAAGCCTTGTGTTAAAAGCAGGGTGGGGGCATGTACAAGCCTAACCATTGTCTGTTTGCTCCCCCTCCCCTGTGGGATGAGGGCAGGCTGTCTTATTTTTCTTTTGTATATAACCAGTGGCGGCCTTTTACTGCTATGCCCTTCATTCTCTTTTCTGAGCTGCAGCTCTTGTGCTCCCCGTGGGGTCTGCTGATTCCAAGCAGAAATGGGCCAATGAGCCCCTGCCAGGGGAGTAGTCACTGCTGTTGTCTTATTCCCTTTCCTGTCCCTACCCCATGCCAGTGCCAGGATCCCCCCACCCAGGCCTCAGAAGGGGTTGGGAGGGCATCTGGAGCTTGTTTTTCCTCTGAGAATGATGAACAGAGGAGGCGCGTAGATCTCCTGCCCTGAAGGGAAGGATTGTCTCTTGTCCTGAATTATCCAGTATCCCTGACGCTTCTCCCGTAACACTAACTTAGTTTGGTGTCTTGGATGGGTGAGGGGAGAGAGACTGTCCTAGTGACTCTGCTGTAATGACCCAGACCTGCTGTAACTCTTACAGTTCACCTCTGATGGGAACAACCTCCAAACACCCTTTCCTGTGCGTGGAGGAAAGTGTAGGGAAAAGGCTCTTCTGGCCAGACCAGTGAAGTGTATCAGTAACAAACTGTGTAGCTTTTGCCTGTGTCTGATGGGTTGTGATCCCACTACTACAGTGGGAAAGGGATGTGTCCCTACCTCGCTGCTGTTGTGTGGCTGTGTGCGGGATAGCGTTGGTATTGTCAGTGCCGTGAACATGCCACAGCCCCAGAAATCATTCCTTGCTGCTTTGTCTTTTTACAATTTTATTTATGAATTAACTTATTTATGGAAGTGTTTGTATAAATTATTGCTGATTGGCTGTGCCGGGGGTGGGGACGGTGCTTTTGGGCCCCTCTCGCTGCTTCTGTCCCATATTGTTGTGGTTCTTTGACACTTGCCATTTTTCAGCATATAATAAAGTGCAAGCGTGAGCTGGAATTGGCCTCCTTCATTCCCCCATCTCTGGTGGGTGGAGGGGCGGGAGGGAGAGAAACATGACGAATGTAGGACTGAAATTAGGAGGTCTTAGTCAAGTTTCTAGGGGGCAGGAGTTGTTGGTCCTTCCCCCTTTGAGGACTGAATGGATTATGTAACGGGAATCCCTTTCTTGCCCTAGGACATGGGGTGGGGCGTATTGGAAGCTTATGCTACTGCTGCCTGGCGCGATGATGGCCTCCGGTTGGTGTGGCTATCTGGCACCTTTAATTGCACAGGCGCATGCTAGGTGTCTGAATTAGGCTTGGTTGGCTTGCATCTGAGGGTGGCTACAAGAATACAACCCAAGCTCAGTGGATTGGCCATGTGATTCCACTGCCTGTTTCCTTTCCACGCTGGAATGAGAGCGATGTCTTGGCCACAGATCTTCAGGGCTCTGGCTGAGGAAGCATGACTCTGCCTCACATGCGTGGATGCTGAGCTAGCTGCTAATCAAATGGTTTTGTATCTGTCAGGCATCTGTAGCAACTCATCAGGGTCTCCCAAATTGTTCCAGGCTCTTGTGCGCTGAGAGCTAAGGTTAATGGAGCGTGACTCTGAAGCAGTGGTTCTCAACCTATTTACCGTTTACATGCAGCTCTCTCTGTTATGTGGGCTGCAACCACACTATGTATCCTACTGGTGTGGCCCTGAGGATGTCACGTGGGCTGCCGCTGTAGGCTGATTGGGCTTCCTGCGGGTTGAGAACCACAGCTCTGAAGCACTGATCTCTCTCAAGAAAAGACTTAAAGCACCTTTTGAATAAAGCTTTTAACATTTTATCCTTATCTACTCTAAATCTCAAGCACTGGAGAGGACATGAAGTATAAACCTCCATCTGTCCCCTGGAGGGGAGGTGGCCTCTTCAGCATTGTCCTAGGATGCCTTGTGTGCTGCACCTCTTCCGTGGATAAACAGGTGTCCGGCATGCAGGCTGCATTCTTGTAAATGAGAGGGGCAAGTAAAGGGAAGGAGGAAACCCAAGGAGTGTAAAGAGAGTGGCTGAAACCCTCTGAAGCTACTGATGTCTCCCTCCCCTGCAGTGACAGGGGTGCCTTGCTCCCAGGTGTGAAGATGTCCACTGCGTGTGGTTGCTGGGCCACCAGCACTTCCCATGGCTTTACAACTACTTTTGATTCACAAAGCAGTCTCTTGCTATGGAGCTTTGACTCTAAGGATTCTATGTCGGCGCTTGGGCTGCTGAGGTGATGAGTGAGAGCCTGGTAGGCTGGAGATGCCTTGCACCACTTTCCCAGGGCTCATCACATCTGCTCCATAGTCAGCTACAGTAGGAAGGCTTTCAAGTTACCCATCCTCAGGCATTGGCAGCAGCACTGTTAATGAAGCCTTCAGGGACCTGCATCCTGCTTCAGGGCAGGGATGTGTATGGTGGGGAAGGAGGAGGTTGAGGAATTCAACCCTCTGTTTCGGTGCTTGTTTCTCTGACACCATCTTTCTGTACAGAATAAGGGTGACTGTGTCAGACCTTTTTTTCCTATTCTGCCATTGCAGGGGTTTCCACAGAGACAGTTATGTGGGCACATGGAGGATTTACATTTCGGAAATGACATGAGCTGATGGCTTTGGTGTAGTTGCTAGTAGGACTGATACCCCTTGGTGCTAAGCAGCCCTTTTCTTGTTAGTACCAAAGGTACCACCAGTGCCCTAGGGAGAAGGGTCTCCTTTCTCTTCTGGAAGGGTGGTTCCAGACCCCAGGGCGTGGTGTGTGTAGGATGCTTGCCCTTTTCCAGTTCAGGGACAGACTAGCTGCAGGGCTCAACCTGTCATGCTGCCTTCGGCTAATGGGGATGCTGTGGCCAGAGGTGTTGCAGCCTTTCCACTGTTGAAGGAGGGAGGGGATTCTTGAGACACATCCGGTTGTTGTGACAGCTGTTGTTGAGATGGGGTATCTGTTTGCAACCTGCAAAGCATCCTCCTGCTGTGGCCCCAAAGGAGGCTCTGTGTTAAAGAACCCAATTTGCTCCCCTGACTCAGTGGGAGCTGTGCATGCAGAGTGGAGGAGCCTCATGTGCCTTTCCACTGACAAACCCTCCTTTGGCCAACTGAAGGAGCAGGGTGGATGAGGCCCTGAGTGAGTTGCATCGAGTCTCCAAGGGCTGGGGCATGGGAAGATGGATAAGAGACTGGGTCCTTTGGTCACATGCACCCTGTGTACCCTGTACTTTGGCTCTCCACGCAGAGGATACATCAGGTGGTATTCTCCTGCTATCTCCTGTGTTTACATGAGGATAGTTGTGGAGAGAGGAGGGGGGAGTGGTGTTATCAAGGCTAATGCATTCACCACAAGCCTCTGCACTTTCCACTCCAAGCAGAAAGTGCACTGCTGCTTTAACCCTGCCTTTCATCATCCTCGCGCATAGCTCAGACTAAGAGAAAAGGTTATTTTAATTCCACCTGCAACTTCCCCCGGGGAAGGAAGGAGAGGAGGAGGGAAATCAGCCTGCATGACAGATGGCAGCAACATCACCAAGCTCACTGCTGCAAGGCATGCAGCTGCTACGATTAGGAGTGTGGTACAGTTACTGGACTAGGGTAATGAGATGAGGATCTTAGGCCAGTTCAGAATGAGACACACAAACCCTGCTCGCACTAGTGTTCCCCTAGAGGTCAGGCTCAGCAGAAAGGTGAGAGGTAGAATCAGAGGGAGAGGACGTTTCTTTCCCTCACGTTCATTCTTGTAGCAGCTTGGAGCCCTCATCGCCATCCTGTGGGAGGTACTATAGGTGGCCCGTACAGGCAGTGGGAGGATGAAGCTTGCAGTCCTGCTGTTTGTTCTGTCTCTGCTCTCTACTACAGAACTCCAGCCTGTGGAATAGGCATGTTTCCTTAAAACTAATGGGCCAGATTGGCAAAGAGGGAAAACAATGGGAGCCAGTGGCCTAATCTGTTTAGGCCCTTCTGTATCTCCCAGCTGGTGCCTCTCTGCATCTCAAGCTGGCGAAATACTTGGATAAATCTGATCCGGATTCACCATGGAGCACTGAGAATGGGGCTGGGGCAGATTTGCAGGAAGCAAGAGGAGGGGAGGGATGAATAGGGGCTAGGGGGACAGGTCAGTTGTTGCCCCCAGCAGGGAGTTTTGCTATCTCCTCCCACTCTTTATTAACTGGGACGCCCTACCGAAAGGCACAGGGACTGAAATATAAAAAGGATTCTTTACAAAGTTAATTTCTTTGCCACTCGTGATTTAACAGCTACTGTTGACCTAAAAAGCATCTTTTTTGTGCAAAGAGGGGCTATGAGGTAGGGTCCTCAATTTTCTCTATGGTGCTGGTGGGGTCTGTACATGTATATAAAGTCTGCTGCAGTTTCCACGGTATGCATCCGATGAAGTGAGCTGTAGCTCACGAAAGCTCATGCTCAAATAAATTGGTTAGTCTCTAAGGTGCCACAAGTCCTCCTTTTCTTTCTACATGCAGAGGGTCATGCAGTATCATTTGCAGTAATGCATGCAGACAGCACACATACATGCAGACAGCACGCACACATACCTGCACTCAGCTGAAGCATCTGGGGAGCAAAATCCAGCCTGTGTTGCTTTAAGCCATGGGCATGTACAGGAGAATGAGCTGGAGGAGTTTAATCCAATAATCTCCCCTAGAAGCCCATGAGGTGATACTCCTCTGTCTATACAGAGTAGAATGGGATCTTAGGCAGAAATTAGCCTTCTTTACTGGGCCATCTGGTTA